ACTTAAAAACCCACGCACGTCATTAACAGCAGATATTTTGCATCTAAAACATTAGGTAGACTCATTTTGAAAAGTCTGACAGCAAAAATATGTATTATTGTATATACTCTAAATTTATCAGAAGATTTTTCCTTATGAGGTCAATGAGGTCATATCTGCATTCCATCGCTCCACTGGCATCCGATGGGAAGCCAAAATATTAAAATATCAGTTTTTGTCAAACATTAGAACCAACTTCTCAATTGATGTGCTGGCGAGATGAATATCACGTAGGCCCCATAGTATGCAGGCCACATGCCTCATCACCACAAGCATCTAAAATTCCAGTTATTTCGGAAAGGAAATGGAGGTAGTCAAAGCTTACTGCATAATTTTTCCTAGTTTTACCCATCTGAATTGTTCACAATATATTATTTAATTTATTGAAATGAAAGAACAATTTCAGGCATGTACAAAATTAACCCTTGCAGTGGGGCTACCCAGACCAGCAATCCATAGAAGCAGGAATCCTACATATTCAGACATGGTATTGATTATTTTGTGCAAAACTTTGCCCATAAAGTACCATAGGGCCTCAAATAACTACTACATTTGCTTTATGGATATAATTGTACATTGCGAATAAAATGTTTGGATATCTTGTATTGCTTTGAGATCAGATTATACATTGCAGAATCTCAGTAGAGAAATGCTAATCAGTCAAGTCTTTTTTTTTCATTGTATTCCACTGTGTGCTGATAACGGAGAAGAGACAGATGGAAACATATGTGCAAGCACTTTCTCAGCACAGGATGACGTCAGGTGGGCCGCCTCAGAAGAGATTAAAGTATGATTTATGTCAAACTTTGCAGTATGATTTACAGATCTCTCAGTATATTATGATATCATATTCTGTATGCAATGTTTCAGGCATCAATTGATTTTGGAATATAGATAACGAAACAGTAATAAGGTACTGACTGGTATCCAAGTGTTTGTAAATCCTAACAATAAACCTATTTTCTTGGGTCTGTTAAATATATCATTGAAAATGTTTTCTGATTTCTTGAATATCTATTTGACATGTGTAAAAATTGATACCTGTTGATCCTGACAGAAATCTTGGGAACTTCCTGTGTCGCACTAATATTAGCTATAAAGAAGAGAGGTTGTCACTCTAGGGCAGGAAGTGTGCTACTGGCAGAATAACCAAGTAAAAAAAAAATGCAAAAAGGAAATGAATGAAGCCATCATATTTTAGGACCAGTTATCTGCAATATATTACATATTGTTTTAAAGGAGAATTATGAGATGAGTGAAATACACTCATCCTGATAGTTAGATCTGGCGTGCGACACTGTAGCTGTCACACATCAGCTCTATTGATTGAGAACTGAGCGATCACATACCGCTGATCGCTCAGTTCAGGATCTTCTCCCAGCAGAGAGCGGTGACTGGAGGGACAGATGGGGGAGCGCACAGCTGGCTGTACCTATAGAGAGGCATCTGCAGCTACACAGCCCCATTATGCAACAAACTGGGATGCACTGTGTGTTCAGACACCTTTCTGTCGGAACCTGAATTAACTTTTTCAGCAATTTGAGCTAAACTTGCTCTTCTATTGGATCAGTATACACAGGCCAGCCTTTACTCCCCACGAGCAGCAATGAGCCTGGGAACAACCCACAAGAGCTGCAGTTTTGGAGTTGCTCTGACCCAGTCATCTAGCTATCACAATGTGGCCCTTGTCAAAGTTACTCAAATCATTACGCTTGCCCATTTTTCTGCCTCCAACACATCAACTTGAGGGACAAAATGTTAACTTGCTGCCTAATATATGCCATGTATTTAACTGGTAGCCTGCAGCTCTACCTTAAGTAATAAGGACATTTTTTATAAGGTCCTTCTATGGCCTGTTCATTAAAGTGCGCTTTAAATGTTATACTGTTTACATATTCTTAAAAAGCAGGAAAACTTTCAACACTTTTGCCGCAACCATAACAAAAGCAGCAGTACCAGCATGTAAATAAACTCCTGGCTCCTATAGCAGATGGGAGTTTGTTTACCTTTTGACTCCCAGATGTCAGCTCTGTACTAGAATTATTGGGGGCAGTTGTGAAGCCGTTTTGCACCCTAGCCCTACTGTTGCTGGCCTACTCCTTTCATTCAGTGGATTTCAGTTTTTCAATCACAGAGGCTTAGCAACACCTGTGGGCATTCCAAATTAAAATACAATCTTGTCTAGGAACATTGACGCCTCCAGGTTTACCATTCATTTTGATATTAGCAGTGGGCTGGCCCTTGGGAAGCACCAGTCATGAATTCCCTCACTTTTATAAAGAAGTGCAGAGACCTGGTGATAAAATAAGTTATTTCTGTACCTTTGAAAATTAATTTCTCAACAATGCTTATAGGTACAGAGGTGAATACGGGTCTGTTTTAAAGTGCTTTTGATGCTTCACAATATTTAAATATTGTGAAGCATCATTGTAACTTGTCTGCGACAAGAGAGCAAACACTGGGCATGAATAAGGTGAAAATAATAAGAATATGCCAGAATCTGAACACTAACAATTCGGTTTTGACATTGATATATCCCAGTGACAGGGTTATTTAATAACCAGTACAAGGAGCAAGGCAGTACCTTTGAACATAGACAAATACAGGGAAGCAATGTTCTTGTTTTCAAGCATTACTTGTGGCTGTAGGGCCTTTTCTGACGGAGTAAAAAGTAATAAGCATATCAAACCCATAGTCATTATTACATATTTTCTTACTTTTTGGTGAAAACCCAGACAGCCCCAACTCTCACGGACGCTCCGGGAGTCTCCCGCTATTAGATAGCGGCTCCCGGCCACCTGGGAGATAAACATTTTCTCGCGGAAAGGTTTACTATGCTGTATGTTTTTGCAATCTGTTGGGTTTTTTTTCTGACATCGGGGCCGCCGTCAGTCAGAGGAAAAAAAAAAAAAAAGGATAGGAATGTATAGCTAGATTGCTATTGACTATTTCACTTTGCAATAGCCAATAGCAGACTAGCTATTGCATCTGCCCACTGCTGCTGTCAATCAGCAGAGGGGGACCTGCAGTGCTCCATCAGGTCATCTTCTAGTGATTGGCAGCAACATAGGAGGTTGCAACAGCCAGCTTGCTATTGGATATTGCAAATTGAAATAACCAATAGCAATCTAGCTATTCATTCCTATTCTGTTTTTTTTTATATTTATTCTGACGGCAGCAATTGTCAGAATACAAAAAAAAATAAAAACCCAGCAGATAGCAAAAAAGCTATTGCTTCCCATGCTATATGCCATCATTTCAGGGGGTTACACCACTGTCAGCATGATGCAGGGGAGTTAGCAGGTCCTTGCAGGAGATGATATCTGCTCTCTATGGCCACACTATATAAAAAACATACTGGGTGCATTAAGATTTAGCAGTGAGCAGAAGGAGCAACACTGCTCCTAGCCACCTAATACTGTTGGCAGACAATGACAAAGCATTAGTTAGAAAAATTGCTTTGAAATTAAACACTTTTTTTTTATTACAATGTGAAAATCTTATCTCATTTAATCTTAACTAATTTACTTTACCTCATGGGAATTCACATGCACCAAATGCTTTCTATTCCCACTATACCATTGTTATTGTTCCTGATGATGTCACCAGCATATGTGTACTTTATTGTACATTCACTGTGTCCTGACAGTACCATAATGTGAAGAGCATCGATGCCGGGATGAGGTCATCACCCATCTCCTGCATAGGCACTCGTTCTCACGAGTGTGTTTAATTCCTGAAACCCCATGTACCTACCGGTGTCGCACAGGTTGGGAAATTCTTTTAACTGGGCACCTCCTTTTCACTGACACATAAGCACCATGGAGGAAGCCTTGCAGAAACAATAAATTCAAAGCAAAGCTTATGTGCTTTTGGTCTACACATGTATGGGGGATTTGCAAGTCGTGTCAGTGGAGGGTAGAAGAAAGGATGGCGGAATGAAGCACCGATATACATACAAAATAGCACTGGCTTCCAGAATATTGGGGTGAAGCGCAGCCAACACTAAAAAAGATAAGTAAGATCTTAAATGCAGATCTTTGGAGAATTTATTAGTAACGAGACTTACTAAGGAAATGGGGTAATGATGTTCTTAGGTGGCAGACTGGAGACTTTACTTCTGCTTTGAGATCAGGAAACAATCAGCATGGCTCCTAATCATGTGAACACTATGACAGCTGTGGCATTGCGATCCCATGCAAGCTGTCAGGTTAAAAGGTGCCCATGCACCTGACGATTATCGTACAATAATCGCGGGTGGTCCCGCGATCGTACAATAATCGTAAGGTTGATGGGCAGCGTGCGACCGCATTTACTGTACGGTCGCACAATTTTCGTATAACGAGCACGCTAGAAAACCCGCCGAAAATCGTACGATTTTCGTCAGGTTGGTAGCTCGATCGCAAGGCAAATGACGCACGGCCCGCTCACCACTGCAATCGTCTGCAAGCCCTCCCTTCAGCAGGGAGGACTTGCGATGATCGCAAGTACGATCTGCCTGTCCAAGATGGGCAAGTCGTACAAACTTTTAATCACCTTACAACCATCGCACAATAAAAGTCGTACAAGGGTTGTAAGGTGTATGGCCACAATAGCTTGCAGAGGTCACACCAGCTTGATGATGGCAGTTTGTGTCTGTCTATTATTGTAAAGATAAGATACAATTACAGTATTAAAATACATTTTATATGTTTGTCAATTATAAAGAGCATGGCATTTGCTAAAATGAAGTGCCAAATAAAAGCCATGGATGCCCTTAAAAAATGTTAAAATTCTTAGAGATATTGTCAGACTAACCAACATATACTTTTGAGCTTCCAGGCTTCAATAATGCATATAATAGCAGATACATACTATAAGCATACCTTCACAGTTCTACTTCACTTATTGTTCTCAAAGCTTTGCAACCAATTTTGTGTTATAAGCTCTCTAACCATGTAAATATAATGTACTATACTTACCAGCACTGGCTTCAGATTCACACTGTTTGTGTGATGTGGCTTGAAAGCCCCTCAGCACATCGAACTCCAGAGTAGTCCACATTCAGGCAGAGGATTGTGCGCTCTCAGAGTAAAGCGGAACCCAGAAAAATAAGGAGATGATGTCGGATGGTATCTTATTATCACTATAAAACCTGCAGTATAGAAACAGATGCAAAATGAAGCGAGTAAATACATACAAAGCAAAATGAAGTGAGTCACGACATACATAGTGCATCAGTAACATAAAAAGAATCATCATCATTGAGAAACTGCTAACAGCCAGGATTTAAAGGAGACCTATTTTTAAAGTGAAACATGCATGAGAAAAGTACCAAGGCTTCCCTTGCAGACCTTTGGAAAAGCCTAGATGTCCGACAGTTTCAAAACAAGTATGATGTAAATGTGCGTCTGAAAAGGCTCACAACTACTTATTTTTATAATTCTGGGTCAGCGACTTCATGTAATAATAAATGTTTTATCATTTAATATAGGGGAAACTGTTTTTTTTTTAAAAAATTCGGTAATTTTTCCTTAATATAGAAAAAAATAAAACCCCCAGTGGTGAATAAATACCACCAAAAGAAAGCTCTATCTGTCCCCAAAAAATGGTATAAAATTCATTTCAGTACAGCGCTGCATGACGGAATAAATGTCAAAGTACCGCAGCGCTGAATACTGAAAAATGGCCTGGATGGGAAGGGGGTTTAACACCGCGGATGTCAACTGGTTAAATATGAGCCCCTGCTGAAACGGAACCGATTTTGCCATCATGAGATATTACATGCAACCTAAAAAAGAAAATATAGTAAGAACATTCGTTTTTGCCTCTATTCACACATAACGAACATGCACAGAGAGTCACAGTGTTATTGGTTCTGCCAATTATTTATAAAAAGTGTTTCCATTATGTCTTTTAAAGTGGACCTTTACCCCTTTTCACTGAAGATCACATCAGCATTCAGCTCTGCATGCTGATATGACATTATCTTACATTTGTTAAATAAACATTTTCTTTTCTTTTACTTCAAATCATTGTTTTTTCACTACCTGGTCCTCTTAGGCATTACTGATAGGGCTGCAACTAACAATTATTTTCACAATTGATTAGTTGGCTGATTATTATTTTTCTCTGATTATTAGGGTCAAGAGCGAAAATTATAATTCTCGTATAAAAATATAAATACCATCCTTAATTTAAAATAAAATACACAAACGCAGTATCACAAACACAGCTCTCCTCATCACTGGGCACCAGCTGCAGGGGTCTGTTTCCCTGCTGGACAGAGCCAAAGATACAGAGAGGCGATGCAACACTGGCTATTAGCGCGGAAGAGAGAACTAAGGGATCCACTCCAATTAATTGATGAGAATCATTGACAACGATTCTCATTATCGATTAGTTGGTTTCAGGACTAATTTATGATGTAGCCCATGCCTAAGAGAGGCATCCTTGGAAGGTTGCATCACAGAGCATTGCTGGGAACTCTCATCTGTAAACTGCAAAATCTCTCGAAATATCAGGGAAAGGCATTTTCCTCCCCTGACATAATGTGCATGGTCACATGTCCTAGTCACATGTGCCAGAGTTCCAGGAAGTAAAGGGAGATACATTAATCTGCCCTTAGTTTAGTAAAACAAATGGCCACTGTGAGAAGAATGGAGAGGAAAAGAAAAATAAGGTATGCAAAAAGTAAAAAGCCTGCAATTATCTAGAATTATCTGTTAGTAGATTGTCATTACTAAACATTTCTAAAAGGTGTCTTTGTTGGAATCTCAAAGATAAGGGTAAAGTTCTTCTTTAAGGAATCATTTATTTTAGACGAGTTAGCAGATAATTAATGAGGAGTTGTTGTATAAAAAAAAAAAATAGCAATACCTTAAACATACAATTGCATGTACAACCCCAATTCTCAAAAAGTTGGGACACTGTGTAAAATCTACATAAAAACAGAATGCAATGATTTGCAAATCTCACAATCCCATATTTTATTCACAATAGAAAACATATTAAATGTTTAAACTGAGAAAATAAGGTAATTTTGAAACTGATGCCAGCAACAGAAAAGTTGGGACAGGGCAGCAAAAAGCTGGCAAAGTAAGTGTTACTAACAAGGAATAGTGATGGGCTTGGGTATGTTCGCAGCTCCACGTGTCGAGCCAGGAAGTGGACAGCGCCACAGCGCCAATCACAGGTACTGAGACATATCCCGATCTCTGCAGCTGCGGACCGGGATAATGTCTCAGTACCTGTGATTGGCGCTGCGGCGCTGTCAGCTTCCTGGCGGGCTCGGCACGTGGAGCTGCGAACATACCCGAGCCCATCACTAACAAGGAAGAGCTGGAAGAACATTTTGCAACTAAATAGGTTAATTGTCATTACGTAGTAACATGATTGGGTATAAAAAGAGCATCTAAGAGAGTCAGAGTGTCTCAAAAGTAAAGATAGGCAGAGGTTCACCAATCTCTGAAAAGCTGCACCTAAAAATTGTCAAACAATTTCAGAATAATGTTCCTCAATGTAAAATTGCAAAGACTTTCAATATATCACAATCCACAGTACATAATATCATCACAAGATTCAGGGAATCTGGAGAAAATCTCTCTGCACAAGGGACAAGGTGAAAAACAATATTGGATGCCCGTGATCTTTGGGTCCTTAGACTGCACTGCATTAAAAACAGTCATGATTCTGGGATGGACATTACTGCATGGGCTCAGGAATACTTCCAAAAATCACTGAATCTTCCGGCTTATCAGCTTTCAGTTGAAAAGCCTGCATCTCTGATGGGAGTGCATTAGTGCATATGGAATGGGCAGCTTGCACATCTGGAAAGGCATCACCACTGCTGAAAGGTATATCCCGGTTTTAGAGCAGCATATGCTCCCATACAGAAGACGTCTTTTTCGGGGAAGGTCTTTGTATATTTCAGCAGGACAATGCTAAACCGCATACTGCGTCTATGACAACAGCATGGCATCCTAGTAGAAGAGTCCGGGTGCTTAACTAGCCTGCCGGCAGTCCAGACCTTTCAACAGTTGAAAATATTTGGCACGTCTTGAAACTAAAAATACGACAAAGAAGGCCAAGGACTGTTGAGCAGTTGTCCCATTCAATCCTATATCAGGCAAGAATGGGACAACAATTCTAGCCTGAAACACCAGCAACTGGTCTCCTCAGTTCCCAGACATTTACAGAGTGTTGCTAAAAGAAGAGGGGATGCTACGTCCTGATCGAAAACGTTGCCAACGTTTTCAATCGTCGATTTTAATCGACTAAATCGATTAACTGTTGCAGCTCTAGTCCTGGTAAACATGGCCCTGTCCCAATTTTTTTGAGACGTGTTGCTGCAATCCATTTCAAAATTACCTTTGTTTTTTCTTAAAATGGTACATTTTAAGAAAATAGTAAATATGGGTTTATGAGATTTGCAAAGCATTGCATTGTTTATATGTAGATTTTACACAGCGCACCAGCTTTTTGGGAATTGGGCTTCTATTAGTACCCATACTGATGCTGCATGAAGAGATTATAGCAAATGGTTAAACAAAACTGTTGTTATTAAGTCATAAGTACTGTACTAATATATATATATAAATGTAAACAAATCTTCATTACAAAACCACCTCTCCAAGTAGTGACTACCACTTACTGCTTTTTTTTTTTAAAAACACTACAAATTCCCTCCCAAATCACTCAACATGATGCTATAATTATACACAAATATATTAAAGATTATTCCCGATACATCATAAATTCATACATGTAATGAACGTCCCGAATGGAATGCATAAAAATCACTTATGCATTAAAACCCGCAATGTTGGTAATCAATAAAACCGGCATGAATCTTGTATTTGCACTCCAATGATAGATGTAGTTTAACTCTTCAAACTGTGGATCATATGTGGCCCTTATATAAATATATGTTCACCCAGTGATTAGGTATTGGCTGAACATGCGTCTCATAGATGTCATATATGTCCACATAGTGACAGAATGGTAAAAGGTCAAGTGAGTCACATTGTTTAAAATAATTATCTCATCCATCATCATCTGCCTTATGAAGCTGCCTGTTCAGTAAACTGGAGAGATGGTTTTGTAATAAAGATTTGTTTTATATATATAGATATATAGTTGTGTTGCTATACTATGTGACTGCACATGTAGTGAATGGGTAGTAATAAGCACTGTTTAATATACAGTACACGAGGCAGCGGATGATAACACGCAAACTGTACACATAAAGTTCTGTGCCGGTGTGCTGGGTAGAGTAGTGGTGTCAGTGTCAGGCTGCCTGTACAGGTCTGTACACATCTGTCACAGCATCTCTCACCTATACACATGTGCTGCTATGCCGCATCAGTAAGCGTCCATGACACTGCCCGGGTGCATGACGGGAGGCAGTCATGTGACAGAAGGCGTGTCTGCAGAAATACAGCTTTCTGGGAAAAACGTGCATCAATGTGTGGTAAATTGACAATACCCCTCGTCCGCACCGTGAAGAGTGACAGTTGAGAGAGGAGGATGGGGGTGTCTGTGACATTTAATGACAGGTGAGCGCACAGGCTCTGTCTGTTTCAAGAACTACAGTTCCCAGCATGTATGTCCGTCGGCCATGGAAGGAGGAATTCTGGGATATGTAGTCTTTACAAACGTAGAATCGTTTGCTTGCCTGCTTATGAGACTGGCTTCAGCGAGTAGAGGAGTCCGGCTACAGCGACATGGATGAAGAGGAGGGGGGAGGAATTATTACAGAGTTTCTCAGACAAATGTTGTCTCAACTGGAACGCAGTCAAATAGCTTTGACATTTTAATTTTTTTTTTAGCTGTGTGGAGAAAGTTAGAAACTGATTGGTTGCTATGGCAACACTTTGAGCTAGATCTTGTGTCAGACACTTTTTATTAACCGGTTAACTAACTGAGCAATTTTTTCAAATTTATTTTCCACGCTTAAAATCTCAATTTCTATGTTGCCCGATATTTACACAAATGTTTATAAAATTCAAATTTGTACTATAATTTATATCATTTATTTATGCTATAACTCTCTTTCATGGCAACAAGTTATCTTTACATACCCAACACTCTTATCACATTATACCTTCATCCCTATATGATCGATATTGTGTTTTCCCTATTCTAATTCTACATCATTGTTACATTTTTCCATTATTGTTACATAATTATTATTTATGAGCATAAAAATATAATGACATTGTTTAGATATAAATACATCACAACTACAGATGTGCAGATCCAATATAGAAATATGCATGGCAAATCATACTATATAGAAATATGACATACTAACCGTAAGGCACAAAGTTCCTTTTCTCTCACAATGATCACTAATCAAACAATTTATATCAAATTCAACATTAATCCATTAGGGACCATGAGATTTGCTTTGCATATCCACTTAGATTGACTTCTGCTCAGATCCCTTTTTAAATTGTTCCTTCTCCATTTATTTTTTTCAACTCCCCAAAATTCCAGACTGTCTGGGTTTAACCAGAAGATCTGGTATTACCAGAAGTTATATAGTTACATAGGGTGAATAAAGACACGGATCAATCAAGTTCAACCTATGTGGTTGTGTGTTTGAGTTGCTGAGATTGCCTGTACCTCTTTATATCTTGCTGTCTGAGAACAATATTTAGGCGGGTCTTGAACGGTTCCATACTTTCAGCTGAAACCACTTCTGTGGAATGGAGTTCCACAATTTTACTGCTGTCACAGTAAAAAATCCCCTTCACAGTTTAAGATTAAACCTTATTAATCCTTTTCTCTTCCAGTTTCCGATGATGGCTTCTTGAGTGAACTAACCGTTTATCACTGATTATCCCATCTTCATTTAACAATCTGTACATTAATATCACGTCGCCCCTCTCAGTCTTGTCTTTTCAAGAGTGAACACGTTTAAAGGAGAACTATGAGGTGAGTGCTTTTCACTCACCTCTTAGTTCTAGCCGACCTGTGGCAATGAAACTGTCACAGGTCGGCTCAGTAGATCGGGAGGTTAGCGAACACATAGCGTCGTTCGCTCACTTCTCGATCCTGTCACGGCTCTCTGCCGTGACAGGGGAGGGACTGGATTCCCCCCTCCCCGCTCCGATCCTCCAGCGCTGACTGGCAGAACGGACGGGGCAGAGCCAGCAGTCACTCACGCAGCTGGGCGGATCCAGACATAATTGTCGGGATCCGTTTCAGCTGCGGCGGCGGCTGCAGCTCGCGGTATACTGAGCTAATCGTGACGGGAGGACACTAGTTTGTGTCCTCCCGTTACCCTAAGGAGAACTATGGGAAAAAGCCCTAACCCCATAGTTCTCCTTTAATGCCTGCAGTCTGTACTCATAGTTTAACCCCTTTATTAGCATTGTTGCCCTTCTCTGGACTCTCTTCTGTGGAAAACTGAACCACATGCTGAAGAAGTGGCCGAATCAGTGTTTTGTAAAGGGGCAGAATTATGGATTCGTCTTTAGAGTGCATTCCATTTTTTTCTGCATGATACTACCCTGCTTGCTTTATTTTCTGCAGCCTGGCATTACATGCTGTTACTAAGGGGACAGTCCACTAGGACTCCCAAATCTTTTTCCACTTTTGATCCCTCAAATTGATGCCCATTAATGAGTAGCTCACATGTGTATATTTAACACCAAAATGCATAACCTTACACTTTTCAACATTAAACCTCATCTGCCATGTAGATGCCCCCCCTTTTTTCCCAGGCCTACCCGTAATATTGCTATGTCTTTAGGTATTGCCTGGAAAAACTGAAATATTGCTACTAATACCAGTCCCAATATCATGATAAACAGGAATGGCCCCAAGACGGAACCCTTGGGCACACCACTGCCAACTGAGGACCATTTGGAAAATGAGCCATTTATTGATATTCTCTGGACACGTTCACGTAGCCAGTTCTCTATATAAGGACACACCATTTCATCTATGCCAAAGAGAGAAGCTTGGAAATTAAGCTTTTATGAGGTGATGTATCAAATGCTTTTGCAAAATTAAGGTACACTACATCCACTGGCATTCCCCCATATAGGTTGCCATGCGTGCGTGCGTGACATGCGCATGTGACGCTGCTGTGGCCTATTAGTCGCCTCGGGCAGCTTTGTAAATAACCCTCTTAGACTCTGCACCTTAGATGAGCCAGAGTCACTTGCCAGAGGGCACTGTGACACTGTGTCTGATTTATCTTAAGGAATAGTTCTCCCTTTAACCCTTTCCACTTTTGACCTCAGCTGGTCACTTCTTTTATTTTCAACTCTTGCTTTTTGAGTTTGTAAACGACCCCCCAAAGCATACATTTCCTGAAAGCACAGGACCAATAGAATAAAAAGATGGTGCTACTAATTTTGTAATTCCTGCGATAATTGCGCAAATGTTTATCAAATCAATATTAAACCCAAAAAAATACACAATTCAATCATTAAAAGTACACTAAAATCATTATCAGTGCACTCAAAAAACACTTTTCTGAGTAAATCTAAAAAGATAAAACTGTATTAAGTTAATAAAAAACAAATATTTGTAAATGATACATTGTGCCTTTTTGCAAAACGGTAAAAAAATTAGGAACGCAAAACTGTAAATAAGCAACTTATGTTAAAAATCTGTGTTGTGGCAACACCTGATTTGCTGTGTTGGTGTGTGTTGTGATAAATACATTTAATGCATACATTTAATTCGCAACACAGCGTATCACATCACATGGCAATGCGTCACAACGCTTTGCCCTGTACTTCCACACAGTTGAATTAATGTTATTTTAAAAAGAAAAAATCAAGCACTGCAATGTATTTTAACAACGCATTGTACTCTCCCCAGTCACGAATGGACAGGAAGCCTCTGTACTGACTGCTCCTGTTCATTCATAAACTGAGCATATAGTGAGCTCAATATGTCACCAGTTATGAATGAACAGGAAGTGCTGTAAGCACTTCTTGTTCATTTATGACTGGGCACATAGCTTACTATGTGCTCAGTTATTCACAAACATCAGTGATCAGTACTGATCACTGGTGCTTGTCCTGCACACCGAAGGATCAGCAAATATTTCACATACGTGCTGATCCTCTGCCCGCCACCCTGAAGCTCTGCCCGGCACTGCCCGCTCTCCATCCTTACACTTGGCTCTCTCTCTCTCTCTCCTTCCCACTTAGCATCCTTTCACATATCAGAGCATGGAGATAGAGCCGGCTTCCAGGGGGGAGGAGAGTGGTGAAGATGTTGCAGAGGGTGGTGGCAGCGGGGGGAGGGGTGGGGGTGTTAGCAGATTCTTGTTTAATAGCTGTCATCAGCGGCTTGTCAGCCACTGATGACAGCTGTTCATTTACAGGGGACCATCAGGGGGACCCTTCTGTTATAAGTTCATAGTCGCTGAATCAACGATGAACATATAGCAGAAGGGCGAAGAAAGCCAGCAACGTAGGGCATACTGAGCTGGCCAGCTGGGAAAAAGTTGTGTTCCACTGTATGGCTTTCGTTTGTGGCAGGTAAAGGGTTAAAGCAGTAGAAAATATAGACACAGATACAAAAAAAAATTATAATAGATGTTTCTTCTTAAAGGAAAGATATTAAACTGACAACACTGAAGTGGAGAACAGCATGTTCTTTAAGTAAATACAATCCACAACCTAGTATATTTGAAATTAGTACTTTAATTAGTCGTCCTTTATTGACATACTTTATTGTTCTCACTTTTTCATCAACAATATTAAATGTCTTTGAAACAGAGTTTCTAGATTAAAATAGACCAGAACTTTTCTGTATTATCTTTTTAACACATTTATCAAGATGATTATGTCATTGATTAGATAGCTGTCATAAAAGCAGATGATTGTATTTGTAATTGATGTTTATGCCTTGGTAAAAGGATGACAGATTGTTATAGTGTATATTGTACATTTTAATGATGCATTCTGAAGGAGATACTGACTATGAATTAAATTGTTATTGCTAGTACCAGGCATGTATCTTTATGAACGTGAGACCAATAACAAACTCTGTATAAGGTCCCCTGGACTACAATCTCAATACAAATGAGAAAACTGCAAGATTGTAGTCCATGATGTGAGCGAGCTTAATAACACACACAGGGACCATGAGGAATAAAAGTAGCCACCCTCCAGAAGGAAGGACATTATCAGCATGAATTCAGAGATGATTTGAGGATCTACAGCTGAGTGATACACAAATAAGTTACATTTGCGTTAATAGTTAAAGAGAACTATGGGGTCAGGGCTTTTCCCCATAGTTCTCCTAATGGTAACGGGAGGACACAAACTAGCGTCCTCCTGTCACCCAAAGCTCAGTATACCACGAGCTACAGCTCGTGGTATACTGAGACGTCACAGCCGGGACAGATCCTGACATTACTGTCTGGA